TGGGAGCAGTCACCTGAGGTGAGTTTGCATTTTTGATTAGTTGGAGAATTAGTTGTCCTAAAGGATGGGCCCCAGTGATATCTTCCCCTAGTCCATACTCCTGAGTAGACACCGTTGAATCTTGGTCTAGGGTGGCTGGGTTAACAGTTAAGTACCCGATTGCATTATAAGCTCTGACTACTGGGTGGTATGGAGCCCTTATAGAAATGAATTTTGTCTTTTTTAGTGACCCTAGAGGGGGTAGTTGTCTACCTCCTGGTATTCAGTGGTCCATCAAACCTCATATCAATCAGCCGAAGGCTTCTACCAGTGATTGCCAAATTCAGGACACAGATATTTATCAGCATGGGATAATTGTCTTTGATTCTCCAAGTTCCCAAAGCATAGGACCTAGCAAGCATTAAATGGTATAGTTTGTGGAGCTGGGGTCTTGGTTACATTGATCAACAGTCTGAGTGGATATTCTGGCCTCCACTTTGTCAGCTCTGAGGTCTTCCCGACATAGATTGCTTCTCTGCTCCTGAGTTTATAATTACTCATTATATAATGACATGCAAGGGTCTAACAGTCACCTCTATCACTGGTTGTAATTCATTTTTTCCTTCAATAGAAATGAGATATTGTATCTTATAAAATATTTCTCCTGGTTGTTTAATTTATAATGTGTAATTTTAATCCTCCTCCATTCCCATCCTTACCCATTCTGGGGGATCAATCTTCCCCTCTTCTCCTCCTACTCCTCCTCAGTTAGAACACTCATTAGTACTTTCATTTGGCCCCTCATCACTCCTAATCCTAAACCTAATCTCACAATCAGGTCTCAGTCCAGGAGACTGACATATAAAAGTTACTCCTCAATTTGTTTTGACCCTAACCTGATTAACATTCTTTATTTTTTTTTAATATTGGAAGCTGAAATTCTTCCTCTTTTAACCTTGATACAGTTAATTTTTCTTTGGAGAATTTTATCCCCTTTGGTTGGCATGTTACAGATGAGCAGGCGGCTTCGATGTCAACCAAAAAGGTTATTTCTTCTCCTTTAGGTCCCACCCTCAAATTCATCAAGGGTTTCTGGCGGGACCCAGTTAAAAGGAACCCCTGAAGCCCCTAGTCTTCATCAGGGGTCATGAGGGGATTTTATATATATATATATAGTTTTTTCTTTTCTCCATTCCAGGCACTTCCTCTTAAATGACCTGGCCTTTTTTTTTTTTTTTTTAAGATGTATTTATTCATTTGAAAGTCAGAGTTACACAGAGAGAGAAAAAGAGGCAGAGAGAGAGAGAGGGAGAGGAAGGTGTCTTCCATCTGTAGGTTCACTCCCCAGTTGACCACAATGACCAGAGCTGCACTGATCTGAAGCCAGGAGCCTGGAGCTTCCACACAGGTACAGGGGCCAAAGGACTTGTGCCACCCTCTACTGCTTTCCCAGGCCATAGCAAAGAGCTGGATCGGAAGTGGAGCAGCTGGGACTGGAACTGGAGCCCATATGGGATTCTGGCCCCACAGGTGGCAGCTCTACATGCTATGCCACAGCGCCAGCCCCATGACCTGGCTTTCTATACCTGTAAATCGACTTAGGGTCTCAGGAATTTTTTCCCCATATTTCTCTCCTGTCTTTTTGTTGGAAGTTAGTATTTCCCCATCTTTTTTAGAGGAGTTTTGATCAAGTCTTCTTGACTACCTCCTCTACAGTGGACATTATCATTTCTGCGTTTTGTTTTTATTTTTCCTCCTCCCTTCTCACAAAGACTTTTTGAGCCTCTCAGTAATTTTCCAATAGACTTTTTATTTTACCTCCCAATATTTTGCAGTTCTTTTTGTAATATCAGGCCAGCTTTTAGTTGCAAAGTGAACCTTTAAGACAGGGTTACACTGAGGGCTTGCATCTGCTGTCTTAGGGTGAGAGTGCCTATTTCTTTTAGGTCTCCCCATATTCTTTTTTTTTTTTTTTTTTGACAGGCAAAGTGGACAGTGAGAGAGAGAGACAGAGAGAACGGTCTTCCTTTGCCATTGGTTCACTCTCCAATGGCCGCCGTGGCCTGCGCGCTGCCGCCAGCACACCGCACTGAGCCGATGGCAGGAGCCAGGTGCTTCTCCTGGTCTCCCATGGGGTGCAGGGCCCAAGCACTTGGGCCATCCTCCACTGCACTCCCTGGCCACAGCAGAGAGCTGGCCTGGAAGAGGGGCAACTGGGACTAGAACCCAGGGTGCCAGTGCCGCTGTGGAGGATTAGCCTAGTGAGCCGCAGCGCCGGCTCCCATATTCTTTTGATGAGATGGGGAGGGTGCCCATGAGGGATTTCAAATGGAGAGAATCCTGTTTGCTTGGTAGGGCTGGACCCAATCCTTAACAGAGCTATCAGTAACAGTTGATCCTAGTGTAGGTGGGTTTCCTGGCACAGTTTACTCACAGTTCACGCTTTAGAGTTTGGGGCATTTGCTTCACTTTTCCTGGGGCCAACAGGCCGTATGTAACTTCCAGGTGATTCCTAGTGCTTTTGCCACCATCTGCACCACTCCTACTATGAAGGCGGGTCTGTAGTCCGACCTGATAGTAATTGGGATCCCAAAGTGTGGGATGATTTCCTTTAGTAGAAGCCGGGCCTCTTCATGGGCCTTCTCAACGCAGGTCGGGAAAGCCTCCACCCATCTTGATAAAGTACACACCAAAACCAATAAATACTTGCAGCCTCAAACACAGGGGAGCTTCGGCGAAGTCCACAATTAAGTTTTCAGAGGTCAGGCAGACTCAGAAGAAGGAATCCTTGAGGTCCAGACGTGCAAAGAAGGCAGTTTTAGGGGTCCACAATGTGGCATAGTGGGTTGAAGCCATGGCTTGCATATGAGTGCCTGTTCAAGTCCTAGCTGTTCCACTTCCAATCCAGCTCCCTGCTAATGTGCCTGGGAAAGCAGAGGAAGACAGCCTCAAGTCCTTAGGCCTCTACACCCCCATGGGAGACCTGGAAGAAGTTCCTGGCTCCTGGCTTTAGCCAGGCCTAACCTTAGTCATTGTGGTCATTTGTAACTCTATACTCTGCCTTTCAGATAAATCTTTAACAAAACAAAACAAAACAAAAGGCAGCTTCAGCAGGGATTAAACCAGCAGAGTGTAGGTGTTAGGGACAACCTTTGGCCTCATCCTAGACCCAACGGAGCACCTCTTTGGGATGCCATCCTGACTGAAGTCCCCTTGGAGCCAAAGCAAGCGGATCCATCTTCTGTTTCAGTTTCCGGTCAGTCTCCCAGCGGGCTTCCTAATCTCAGTTGAAAAATACTTCGGTGGCAACCTCCAATAGCTGGCTTGAGTTCATTCCAGCAAAGCCCTCCAACTTCTGCAGCTTGCATCTGATGTCTCCCTGGGATTGGCCGACAAAGGCAGCATTGACCATTCATTGATTTTCTGCCTCCTCAGGGTCAAAGGAGGCATAGACAGAAAGCTTTGCCAAGTCTCACATAGAATTGACTTGGACTCTCTCTAGGTCCTTGGAGTACCTGAAGTGTTACTCATACTCATGGCCTTTCCCCACCTCCTTCCTTCATTCTGCTTAAAAAGGCCTCTTGGAAACTCAAGCGTCTGATACTCCTGGCCATCACTAGGGTCGGGGGGGGGGGGGGGGATCTTCCTTGGGGAACTGATTCTGGGCGTGAGCCTGAGCATGCAGAGCCCCTGCTGGGGCATGTTCCTGTAGCCATTTCAACACAGCCAGGGTAATTCAGCAGCATTGTTTAGCGTGAACAGAGTCGGAAGAAGCTGGTGGCAATCGGTCCAGTTGGGCTCATGGGTCTGGATGATGGGTTGCATCAGATCAGTCTGGCCTGGGGTTCCCAAGTGAATGAGGGAGTGTGGTTCTCCCGATTCAGGAGATCAGTGGGGTAAAAGGCTGACATATGAAGCTGCGTGGTCCACCTTGCACCTGAGCGTCATAATCAGGGTTTCTCTAAGTGGCAGCTTTGGGCACTTTGGCATCTATTGGGAGGGGGGCTGTCAGTAAGGTCCCCCTGGTGCTTCCCAGTTGGAGTATACAGGGTTAGGACTGGCAGCCACAGGGCGACTATGGTCAAGGGAATCTCAGGCAACTTTATGAGAGGGGTGGCTTCAGGGGTGTGGGTGGCCTCTGGCGGGCTCCAGCTGCAGGGCACCCTCTCATGGGTGTGGGAAGTGCAGGTGGTGGCAGATGAAGTGGTGACAAGATGGGGGAACCCCTTCTGGCTCCTCAGACAAGATGGGCTTCTTAGATTCCAGTTGGCATTTTGAAGGGGCTGTCAGCCAGACCATCATGATTTTACAGTTTTCTTCCAGACAAGTTTTAGCCAGAGTGGCCAAGAGAGAACTGTGTCTTGCCAGTAGTCAATGTAGGGAAATTAGTCAAGGTGACCAGGGACTCCCATGATGATTCAAAACATCTTGCTAACTAGTTCTTTATCTAGTGATCTCTCAGAAGTCCAACCCACCCCAAATGAAGGCCAATTTGTTTGGAAGAAAGTTCAGAGTTTTTTGGGAATCAGCCTAACAGCACAGTTTCCTGAATATTCTTTTCTGAGATGTTTTTTATCACGCACTCTGGGAGTAGGTTTACTCTGTTGGCCACCCAAAAAGGAAAGGGCGAGAAACTGCTTCATCTGTCTCTGACTGCTCTCCCTGCAGGGATATTTCAGGCTTCTCTTAGCATCGATGGTCAGTATGCACTCCCCACCCAGGCTAGGCTCAAAGACCTTGCGGAGAGCCTGGGGCTGCCCTAAGCCTTGTGAGAATTGCCATGGACCCACGGATTGGGACTCCACACTTGCTTCAGTTTCGGTTAAGTTGGAACTCGACCTCAGCCCATCTCATTCAGTCACCATTCACTTGCACTCACGTGGCATTTCCAACCCACCACCCAGCACCTTGGAATTGTGGTTTTGTCTCTTATAAGTCTGTCTGGACCATTCTGGGAGGTGATCAGGCTCTCCTTCTGCCTCTTAGAGGAAAGCTTACAGAAAACAAACCCAGGTTCTTACCAGTCCGAGGGGCAGTGCTCTCTTGGCTGGTTCCTGCACCTCACTGGGCTCCTTTGTGCTCCCATGGTCCTTGCGCTGGCACACTGGGAGGGTTAGTCCCCTATGGAACAATCAGTCCTCTGGCACCAAGTGAGGTCACCTCTCTTGATGTCCCGGGGTCGTGCTCCAGCTACAAAGGAAGAAAAAACACCATCTCTGAATCCCAAACGATGGCCACAGGAAATGTAGCGGGATGCCAGGACAGAGGCGAGACGCGGAGGCTTTCAGCAGGAAGCGGCGTTTACTTGTGCCAGTACGGGCTCAGCAGATTCCCATCTAAAGGGTGAGCCCCAAACACAGTGGGGCATTGTCTTATCTACCCTTTAACTGGTTCCCCTTAACAGCGTTGTCCTTTTTCTCCCCATATGTGGTAAGCTATACATTGTGCATGGGCAAGTGGATACCGAAACCGCCACATCACCTCCTTTTCTTTGTCCCAGGAGGCCCTTCCTATACTTTTAACTCAACACATTTAATTTTTCTTTGGAGAATTTTATCCCCTTTGGTTGGCATGTTACAGATGAGCAGGCGGCTTCGATGTCAACCAAAAAGGTTATTTCTTCTCCTTTAGGTCCCACCCTCAAATTCAAGGGTTTCTGGCGGGACCCAGTTAAAAGGAACCCCTGAAGCCCCTAGTCTTCATCAGGGTCATGAGGGGATTATATATATATATATATATATATATATAGTTTTTTCTTTTCTCCATTCCAGGCATTTCCTCTTAAACGATCTGGCTTTCTATACTTGTAACACTGACTTAGGGTCTTAGGAGTTCTTTCCCATATTTCTCTCCTTTTTGTTGGGAGTTAATATTTCCCAATCTTTTTTAGGGGACACTTCTTTTTAAAAAAGGATTTATTTTATTTATTTGAAAGGCAGAGTTAAAGAGAAAGAGAGAGAGAAAAAGAGGTCTTCCACCTACTGGTTCACTGCCCAAATGGCCGTAACAGCCAGGGCTGGGCCAGGCCAAAACCGGGAGCTTCTTCTGGGTCTCCCACATGGGTACAAGGGCCCAAGCATGTGGACCATCCCCCACGGCTTTCCCAGGCACATTAGCAGGTAGCTGGATCAGAAGTGGAGCAGCTGGGACTTGAATGGGCACCCTTATGGGATGCCAGTGCTGCAGGTGGTGGCTTTACCCACCATGCGACAGGGCTGGCACAAAGAGTCTTGATCTAGTCTTTTCTTAACTATTTCCCCTTCAGTGGACGCCATCCTTTTTGCTTTTTATTTTTGTTTTTGTTTTTCCCACTCCCTTCTCATGAAGATTTTGAATCTCTAGTAATTTTCCAATAGTCTTTTCATTTTATCCCTCAGTCTTTTCCAGTGTTTTTATAATATCAGGCCAGCTTTTAGTTAGGAAGTGAACCTTTAAGAGACCTTGTCCTGCTGGGTCTTCAGGATCTAACCCAGAATACTTGCTTATTTGGTCTCTATGTCCTTGCAAGAAAGCAAATGGAGTCTCTTCCTTTTCTTGTTGAATTTCAAGTGCCTTGGAGACATTTTGTGACTTGCAAGTGGGCCCTTTGATCCCTTTATTCCTTAGCTACTGGAGGTCCTGCATTTGTACTTGGTCCCCTAAAGCATTATTATCTCAGTAGGGATCAATATTTAGGAATTTCTGTTCAGCTGACAAAACTCCCTGTCCAGGATCTGTTAGGAACAGGTACTTTGTATCCTGGAGATGTACAGAAAGGAAACTGACCTTGAAAGACCAGACAAGCTTTATTCTAAGCCAAAGAGGGATGCCACCTCCATTGGACAGACCTGAGAAAAAATGGCATCTCCCTGTTGAGGGGTAAGGTCCTCAAGTAGGGCTGGGGAGAGAAGTGACACAATAGGGGATGGAGTTATTTGATCAAAGGGATGCAGAAGTTTTTGTGCTTGGGCAGGTGGTTACACATGTCCCATTTTACTGTTCAGGGAACAGGAGGAGGAGGAAGTATTAGGACCGAGGCTTTAGGGTGGGGTTGTTTGTTCAAGTCTTTGGTAAATTCCAATCAGGATCTCTTTCCCAAATGGCCATGGCTGCCCTCCTAATCATTCCTGTCTCCTCTCCTGTAAACAGTATATTCATTTTAGACATCATTTCAGCCCAGGTACAAAAAGTGGGTCCTGGAGCCAGTGTTGTGGCTAAGCAGGTTAAGCTGCCACCAGGAGTGCTGGCTTCCCCTATGGGTGCCCGTCCAGGACCTGGCTGTTTCACTTCCGATCCAGCTCCCTGCTAATGCACCTGGGAAAGCTGCAGAAGATGGCCAAAGTCCTCAGGCTCCTGCATCCATGTGGGATCCCTGGAAAAAGCTCCTGGCTCCTGGCTTCAGTCTGGCCCAGCCTCCGCTGTTGTGGCCATTTGGGTAGTGAACCAGTGGATGGAAGACCTCTGTCTCTGTCTCCCTCTCTCACTGTGTGCAATTCTGCCTTTCAAATAAGTAAATAAATCTTAAAAAAAAAAAATAGACAAGTAACGAGACTGTACTTATTTTTTAAGAAACAAAACAAACAAAAAAACCACTGGGTCCTAAGAATTCGTCTAACTGTTCAGCCCAACTCAGAGGGTCTTGTAGAAGTGACTCCACATACCGGTATTTTAGGACTGGGGAAATCCTCTACGTCCTTTTTACATTGCTCTTTTTCAGATTTGCGTGAGGATCTGCAGGGGCGGTTGGTTTGGCTCCGCCACAGTCTCCAGATCTTACTTTTCTTAACTGCCCTACTGCTTCTTTCATTTTCCTGCTCCTGGGTTTTGCAGGAGCCCAAGAGGCTAGCGTGTCGGGGTTCCCAAAGCTTTGCACTGGGATTCCCCTTTCTCTCTTGCGAGGGCACATGGGGACTGTTTCTCGTTTGTTTGTTTTTATCCAACGAAAAGCATAATGTATTATTTTAATGTGTTCATTCATTTTTTGTGGGGCCATGGTTTTGTCACATACAGAATTAAAGCTGGGCACATCTAGTCCTCAACTGAACCTAACTTGGGCCAAAAGACCAAAGGTTTGAGAAATAGTTCTTAATGAAGCCACAACATCTACTCATTTTGTTTCATTTTTCTTTGTCCTTAGCCTGGGGGCGTCCCCCACAACCCTCAACATTCTCCCCAAGGGACTTTACGGGGGTGGGCGGGGGGATGTCAGCGGAAGCCTCTTCCCCCACGCTCACCCCTCTCCTGGATTCCTGAGGCCTAGAATTTTTATTCCCCGTTTCTGTCGGGTCTCTGGGTCTCAGATTACCTGTGCGCTCAGTTTACCACCCCGACACGGAGGGTTCTTGCGTAGCCCGGGACCGCTCCATCTCCGCCGTCACTCGCTGGAGATGCGCTGGGTGTGTGCGCTAAGTCTCAGTCCCAGGCACCCCGCTTCGGAAAATGCCCAGCCAGCCAGGCGGTCCTTAAAGTCCAGTTTTGCCTACCCTAGGCTCGTGCCGGAGGGTCCCTGGATGTCTCCTAAATAACATTTTCAGGCTATTTCACACACAGCGTGAGGCTCTTGTGAGACTCTCTGACTTTCTTTCCTCTCTCTTTCAATAATGTGAACTGCAGGCAACAAGGAAAGCGCTCGTGACCACCGTCCCTCCCGCGCCGCCTTAAGGCGCCGGGTCCCCGCAGCTCCCCTCCCAGCCCCGGAATTCATGCAAATTATCCTGCTACCCCCCGAGGCAACACGAACCACTTTCGCGCCACTCGCTCAGGACCCTGCCGCTGTATAAAGAGTCAGTGCCTCGAAGCCGCCAAAAAGCCCCTTTTTCCAAGAAGGTTTCAGCAGCGTCCGAAGCTGTCCTTGGAGAGCAGAAAATCTTGCGGGGGTCGAGTTTTTTCCAGAGCTCGAGTGGGTCTTGCTCCCGGCAGCGCTGGTACCACAGCTTGCAGGACCTGCGCCCCAACGCGGGAAAGCCCGCTCGAGCCCCGCCCCCTCGGGGGTCCGGTTGGCGAGCCCCGCCCGCCCGCCGCGCGGCTCCCGCTCCTCCGGCGCTGTGGGACGGTGGCGCGTGCGGCTGCTCGGCTTCCCCGGCTCCCTGCGCCGCCAGCATGGAGACTCGCCGCGTGCCGGTGAGGGCTGGGCGGCCGAAGCCGAGGGGCGGGCGCGGGGTTGCGCACGCGGGCGGGTGCGGGCCGGCCAGCTCCAACTCTGCAGCCCCGGGCTGCTTATCGACCGCTGGCAGATTTGGGCGTCGGCCGCTTGGGAAAGCCCAGCACGTGTGCGCCCGGGGCCACCGAGGGCCCGGGGTAGGACGCGCGCGCCGGGCAGCGGATGGTGTGCGGGTCTGAGCAATCTGCTGCGCTGGGAGCGCCGGGGCACGTGCGCCCGAGGTGCACGTGCGCCGCGGCCAGAGGCAGGGAAGCCGGCGGGGCCGGGGTGGTGTCCGATGGTCCTAGACTGCCCTGGCCAGCCCTGTCCCGTGCGTAGCCGGGGTCGGGCGGTGCGTGGCTGCACGCGCGTGCGGCGGTGGGCCCCGCGGCGCCCGCCGCCCGCTGAGCGTCGGGGTGTTGGGAGTTGGACGACTTGCAGAGCGGACCCCTTTCGAACTTGGACTGCGCCCTTGTTGGGGAGGTCTTTTTTTCAGTCCCAGCCACCTTGGAGTGCAGTGCAGGGGCGCGGTGGTTCAAGCCATCCGCCGGCGCTGGCTGGTTCTCCACGCCTTTCCCTCCCCCACTCCAACCCCCAGACTACAGCCCTATTCGTAGCCGCAGGACCATGCCTTGCCTGAGAAACGTTTCTTTTAGCTCTAACGGAAGCTGTAACGGGGGTCTGCCCCGGAGGAGGGTGGGAGAGTGGGGGTTGGGCGGAAAGGAAGCGAGTGACACGCTTAAAATAAATAGCTGGGGGGTTAAAGACCCACGTGGGGTGGGTGGGAGGGGGCGTGGCCTGCGCCCAGCCGGATGGAGTTGGGTTTTGCCCTTCGGGATGAAGAAAGCGCTGTGGAGCCGGGCTTGGGACCCGCGGAGCCTGGGTTCCCATTTGGGCCGGTGTTTCACTTGAGTGACGCGTTTCCCCTCTGAGTCGCATCTACCTTTGCTGCGGAGAGTTAGGCTCGATAAGAAAGCTTGCTTAGCACAGACTGCCTGGCTCAAGGGGACACCGACTGTGTATGGGGTGGGTTCTCACTGGCTCTGACTTGCGGGGTAAATCACTTGGCTTGTGCTGACTCGTTAAAGCTCAGCGGATACTGCTGCCTGTCGCAAGCCTCCCCGGAGGCTGCCCTGGGCCCAGGCGCTTGCAGGTAGATGGATGAGTACGTGGTGGTGATGCCGAGCGCGCTGCTGCCTTCCGGGGCTGCAGGCTTGGCGACTCCGTTCAGCCCTGTGGTCTTGCACAGTGTTTCACCCCAGAGCCGTGACAGTCTGGGCAGGGGGAGACTTCTGAGATCCAGCTCAGCTCCTGATGCTCATGGTGCCTCACTCATGTGGAATCTTGAGCAGCTCTGTGCCTTACCACAGCTTCCTGTGGAAGCGCACAAGACAGGCTTGTCCGAGTTGATTGAATGGATCTGGTTAGGGCCTTGGGAGGTGGCGGTATTGGCGTTTTGTCTGCAAGACTCTGAAAGGCAGGCGAAGTTGGGAATGTTGTGTTGGCCTGACGCCTCCCACCTTAGCCTGACGCTGCGGGCTGGAGCAGAGCTTGCTCCTTCCAAGTTCTCAGCGTAAGGAGTCCTTGCTGATGCGCCTAGGCGACCTCCAAGACAGTCTCATGAAATGTTAAAAAAAACGGCGTTGCAGGCTGTGTGGTGTTTGTGAGTGAATGAAGCGTCCCATGTTTACAAATCAGTTGCACCTTGTGAAAGGACATTAAGAGCTTCAGTTTTGGGCACAGGGGCACTTGCAGAAGGCTAAAGGACAGGCCAGGGTAATGCATGCTACAAGGATCCCACCTGGGCTTGGAGGGCTAGTTGGCCTTCCACCTGGCTCCTGGCACGTTGGTCTGCTGGGTGGATGGGGTTGATTTGTAAGGACCTGGGCTGTCCGCGTACCCCTCCTGATTGGAACAAAGCCTGCTACTTACAGTGGAGTCCTGCCCAATTTTTTGTAGTTTGGGAAATTAGCATCAGGGTAGATGGCCCAAAACCTATGTAAAAAAAAAAAAAAAAACCTCATTAGCTTGATTTTTGGCTGAGGGAGAAAAATCACTGCCATTTTGTACTTTTGGAATTTCCTTTTAGAAGTACAGTTTAATTTGGAAAAAAAATGATTGAATTTTGGGAGTTTAGCATGGAGCACCTGTGGGGCTCAGAATAATGCTGAGAGCTTAGGAGGTTTCAAAGTGGCTGCTGGGGGAGCTCCATGGATGTTTGAATCAACTAATAAATGTCATTGAAATTTTCCGCCAAAGGGATTCCTTAGCATGATTTGGAACACTTTTTTTACTTGCTCTACTCTAGGTAGCATTTGCACATCGTTTTTTCTGTGTAGGGACTGAAGAGTGGCCATACCCACCTTGTGCTGTTTGAACCTGCTAGATTCAAAATTGATGTCTTTAGTTGGGTCCTGCAGTAAGCAGCCCACTTAACAGTGTTGCCGTCTCCATTTGCAGCAGAAGGACCTGAGAGTAAAGAACGTAAAGAAATTCAGATATATGAAGTTGATTTCCATGGAAACCTCGTCATCCTCTGATGACAGTTGTGACAGCTTTGCTTCTGATAATTTTGCAAACACGGTAAGTGCTGCCTGAGAATAAACAGAATGGAGTCTGCAGCGCTCCAAATGCCCCAGATGCTTTGTGCATGATTAAACCCGCTTGCTTTTTGCCTACATTTCTATACAGCCGTTAGGAAAATACAGCATGCACTGTAATTTCATTTCACTTTTTGCTGTGGTTCTAGGTAGTAATTGTTGGAGGTAGATTAGCTACTTATTCTATCCTTTTGAAATGTCGCCTAACCTAACATGCCTGATGATTTGCCATAACAACTCAGAAATCATTTGTAAACCTCTGAACCGTTTTTCTTTGTAACAAAAGCTATTCGCTTCTAGTGCACTTGTAAATGTGATTTGCTCTCTGCACGCTTTATGGAGAATTGGTTCTTGAAAAAGAAAAAAAAATGCACAACCACATTTATTTATTTATTTTACAGAAACCTAAATTCAGGTCAGATATCAGTGAAGAACTGGCAAATGTTTTTTATGAGGACTCTGATAATGAATCTTTCTGCGGCTTTTCAGAAAGTGAGGTGCAAGATGTGTTAGACCATTGTGGATTTTTACAGAAACCGAGGCCAGATGTCACTAACGAGCTGGCCAGTATTTTTCATGCCGACTCTGACGATGAATCGTTTTGCGGCTTCTCAGAGAGTGAGATACAAGATGGAATGGTGAGTTCGAGAAATTTCACCAGTGTCGAGAAGTAAGGTCCACTTCAGGGGCATGACATGTTCTTGCTTTTTAAAAAGTCTGCATTTTAGTCATGCCAAAAGATTTTTGTTTTGACCTTTTACAAAACTTGAGTCTTTTCTGTCATGTCTGAATGCAGTTTTTACTTATGTAGTCCTACTTGTGAATCTGGAACATTTTGTAGTCTCTGCAAATCTTGGAAACTGGTAAGATAAATTTGGCCACGCTCCCAAGTTCCATTGCCACAGAAGTGCAGCCTAATCAGGGGAAGCAGACATGTTCTAGAGATTAGCTACATTCACACTTCAAGTTCAAGTGCCCAGCACACTGCCTGGCAAGGAGCAGGCCCTTGATAAATGTTGGTTCCCACAGTGGAGCTGTGCCTACCTCAGGAAAAGCTGTAACTGATGGACAGGAGCAGCAGTGCAGACAATGACAGTTAGGATCCTTCCTGCTTCTCTGTTTGCTCGTTGGTCGGCTTTGGCTGTGCATGCTCCCATACTGTGAGCTCTGTCGTCCCGCCCTGGCACCTCCACCTGCACCTGCACCTGCACCTCACTGGCACTCCCCCACCCCCCACCCCCAGGCTACTGTTCAGTTCTGCAGATAAGTTCTTGTTCAAGACTTTCTCACCAAAGGAAGCAGTGCATTGGTTTACAGTTGGCTGCAAGCTCTTCCACTCATTTTGTGGTCTGACACGGGTTCCCCTGCCTGTGGAGCACAATGCTGACATGGGTGATGACGCCTGGCTGAGGACTGTTTATGACCATCCCACTGTCCCTGGTAATGTTCCCTCGAGTTAGGGATGTCGGTGCCAATCGACCCTCACTGGAGTTTATTATGGGAGCCAGTGTGCAAACCTGGTTGTGATCCAAATGTTGTCCACAGCCTGAATCATTCCTGGGCGGTGTTTCAGTTCTTTGTAGATCCTATTTGCTGTGATTAAAAAAATACCAATCAATTAAAAGTGTTAATTCAATAAAAGGTTTCATTTCATATTCTTTCAAAATCCATGCACACCAAAAAAAACATGCATGTAAAAAAATACATAAAAAGTACTAAAAGCTGTGGGAATTAAGAAATTTCTGAATGTTTAAAAAAATGGATCCTCCATTTCTGGGACTTTAGGGATGATATTTTTCCCTTCCCTCATTTTTTATCGTTTTCTCAACCGTCACTACAGTCAATTTTAGAATATTTTCATCACCCCCAAAAGAAACTGTACTC